GGTACGCTTACCAACACATTTTGCGATTTTTTTTTTTTTATATTAAAGAAGATTAAAGATTTTTTTTATTAGAAAACTAGCTGACCCCGCGAACTCTGTTTCGCCTTAAAGGCAATAAATAAGCCATCGCAATTTTTCCTTATTTGCTCACCGTTTAGTCCTACCCTGGACTACAACAAACATTTTAAAACCAAAATCAGCTCAATCGGCCCAGCCGTTCTCGAGTTTTAATCAGACTGACGAACAACAATTCATTTTTATTTATATAGATAGATTAGTTCTAGATCTTAAATTACAAAAATTACTTACCATTTAACCTACTTTTCAAATGAGGCAAAGTGTTAGTAGTTCTATCCATCACGCCTTTGCTGTAGTAAGCACTGGTGTTCTCAGTATTGAACCTGACCGGTGGCGAGTTAGAACAACTCCTGGAGTCCTGCAGTCTTTCCAGGTGGTACCTGGGCTCCAGTTCTGGCATCTGGGCCAGGTTTAGGGGGTTTCTGCTGGGGTTGCTGTATAAAGATGGCGGGGATGCGTAGAGCTCGGGCGGCATTAGCTGTTCTGGGGGCAGCTGGTGGAAAGAAAGTAAAACATTTGTTACCAAAATAACTCCCGTATTCACATTACTATGAGGTCTCACAGTGCGCGTGCACGCACAGGGTGATATACGAACCAATCACAGAGTTCTATTCAATGCTGTGAGTTCATTTAAGCAAGCATCATTTGTGAATACGGGCGTTAGAGAGACAAAGGAGCCTCCTAGTGACTTGGCCCACTTTTAGCTTGGTCGACGGGCCAAGTCGTTAGTTTGAATTTTTAAATAGTTTTTCTTCCAGTGACTGGGCCCACCTTCAATGTTTTATAAATTGAACACCAAATCAACAAAAATCTACTCTAGAATCTTGGAGGAAGAAAAATCAATTAAAAATTCAAACCAGCGACTTGGCCCGTGGACCAAGCTAAAAGTGGGCCAAGTCTGGAAAACTCAGAAAAAGATAGTGCATAGAGTTCGTAGGTTAAGAATGAATCATGGATATCTAAAACTCTAGACCTAGAGATTTTGCTAGTAATAAATGGTCAAATTCCAATTATTTTTAACCTATTTATTATAGTACCTTCTGTACAATAAAATAAGTACTCGATTGAGTGTCGACAAGTGACGTCATTGAAAAATTATTAATACATTTTGACAGCTCTTAAAAGGCAAGTGAAATAATAAATTGTCGGTATTAATTAACTAAGGTAGGTACATTGTTAAGCTTCATCAAAATCCATCAAGTAGTATTAAGCATAATATTTTAAGACACTTACCAAACCCGTAGTATTCAACGGCAAAGCATTCTTATACTTCAGCCAATCTTCATACACCTTATCGTACGGCCTGTGACAATCGTTTGGCCCAACATTCATGTGCAAACTGCTCATTGGCCCCAAGCTTTGTATACTTGGCCCAAGGTTGGCCATCGGCATAGGCTGGTACGTAGGTCGAACGCGGTAGTCTGGTCGAACCTGGATTAGAGATGTAAATTGAATGAATCTGACCGGTCACGATCGTCGATAACCATAAATGACCGGTCATTTACAGTCAAATTCAGTCAATTTGACTAAAATATTACTGTATTACCACCGAATAATTATTTAATAAACAATTTTAAATGAAGGAACGTCAGCAGGGTGCGGGGAAATTGCGTAGGGAAAGAAAGCAGAATAAATAATTACAAAACACTATTATTGTATAAATTCAGAAGTTTGAAATTTTTTAACTAGGTATAATAAATCATTACAAGTTTTAATCAAGAAAATAATGTAGACTTTTATCAATCACAAAATCAAAGAAAAATCTTAAAAAGTACTAAATTATTACTGAAATCAAATTGACCGAAAACGACCGTTTTTAACAGTCTATGACTAGTTTTTGACCAATTTGACCGTAAATGACGGTCAGTCAAATTAAGCTTTAGTAATTTTCAACACTAACCTGGATATACTGGTTGCAGGGTTCTATGCTGTGGTCGTAGAATCTGTCACAGTTTGGAGGGATATCGTATTTGTCGGATGGGGTTTTGGAAATTAAAGGTCGAATGGAACTGTAGTCTGTGGTCGACGACTTGTTCGAGCAGCTGTCGCTTATTTTGCCGTCTAGGGGGATGATGTCGGGGTTTTTGTCTGAAAAGAAATTGGTTGTTTGTAGCATTCAAATGGCAAAGGACATTTAATATTACCGATATCGGAGTACAATATCAAGTGTTAATTATAGTGCCAACGAGTTTAACACGCGTAAGGGCTAAGTAAAATGGTCGTTGACCTATTGAAAAACTTTTAACTTTAAATGAAGTCCAAGTTCAATTTTTTTCAAATGAATACTTATTTGTTATCGGTTTTGTACATCAATCCTGTTGGGAAGTGTCTTTTATGTGTAGCTGAATGGATCGAAACTACTTTTTTATATCAGTGAGGAGCAGTGCCGTAACTAGCCTTTTATGCGCCCGGTGCGAGAAATATAAAAAAAATGTAACCTTTTTGAATAAAAAGTAACCTTCTACGGGNACAAAACTAGATACTGGTCTGGTCATTTCTGCGCCCTGTGCCTGGGCACCGCTGGCACCGCCCTAGTTACGGCACTGGTGAGGAGTACTTACCTAAACTGTCGACGCTCTCAGTCTCTTTAGTGCCGGTCAGGGGTATATTTGACGTCTCATCTTGCTGTCGCTTGTCCTTCTCATTTTTATCTGGAAGGAAAGATACAGTTTAATTTGTTGGAATGATTGTATTAATGAGTAAGTTTTAATCCTTTAGTATGATGATATTGCGGAACTTTTATTTTCTAATTTCACCTGTTTCACCTACCACGGCTTCGGGACAATAAATGGGCCAGTGCTGAGAAGAAGCAGCGCAAAAAACTTATGCCCCTTTTTCACCATCAATCCCTAAGTTTAAGTGACCCCAATGAAAACAAAATGCCTGATAAGTGTCACTTAACATTAGGGATTGATGGTGAAAACGAGCATCAGTCACTCTTGTCAGCTTCCATGTAGGCTAAGAAGCTCTTGGCGAAGAAATAGAAAAAGGTTGTTAAGTACTAGTACTAGATAGTATAATGTATAAACCATATAAGAACAATAGTTATAATTATTATATTTCCCTAATTTACGATATTTATGTAGGTTTACAATAGTAGGTACAACATTTTTACCACCTTATTCTCTACCATTCTCGTGCGTTTTCCTTCTTTTTTTCAAGCAAGAGCTGAAAATCAGTGTTCTGCTCATTTTAGAGCAGTGTCTACACTGAGCTCTCTGCTTTTTTGCATCGCTGCGGCACACTTATACCTTAGCGCAGGATTTTCTTTTTTACTCTTTGTAATGTATATCTTTCCTGCTACTCCTGTGTTTATTAATCTTACTTTTTGCTTCTTGTGTGTCAATGTGTTTTGCAAATAAACCTATCATCTATCTATAATACAGTGTGAGTCACGTTAAAGTGTACATATAAAAATAGATGAAACTAGACCTATTTTTATCGACAAAAAAGAGGTCAAAAATTTTTTGAGTTGTTTTTTTAAATTTTTATAGAATTTTTTTTCTCCCAATTACTTATTGTAAAGAAAACGTAATAACTTTTAATCAAAGCGGTATATCTTGATAAAATAAAAACAGTAATAATGCTAAATAACAGGCGATACTAAAAAAATACATAAAATACACAAAAAAGGCCAACAAATAATAAAAAATGATACTTTTTGAAAAAAATCTGCTTTTAAATTCGTGTTTTTTTGGTTATTTGATAAATTTCTCCAAAAAATGCCCCTATAACCGGTGGTTTTTATTACTTTTTATTATTCTCTATTGTATTATCTTTGCAAAACCAAAAATCGCATGTCTCTATCCCTATCACAATATTTGCTATGATCGTTTGAACAAAGGCCTGCCACAACATTATTCTCCGCTACAGGTAGAGACAATTTTAATTTTAACTAAAATGCTTATTTTACTTCGAAATCTTTTGTTTTTATTTGAAATCTAACTTGCCTTTATCAAAATTACAAATCTAGAGCCATTTTCAGTTTCGTTGTTAACGAAGCGTTGAATGGCGCGCCCGGAGAGGCTTAGTTCAAACGATCATTGCAAACGTTGTGATAGGGATAGAGACATGCGATTTTTCGTTTTACGAAGGTAATACGANGTAAATAATTTTCAATAATAATACTTAAAGTAAAATTAGTAACACATTTTTGTAAAATTAGGGCAAGAACAAACTAATTACATTTTATAAAGTTTTCATTTTTTGTCATCGTGTATAAATTAATTGGAAATAACTTGATCATTGGCTTTAAATAATCATTTTGGTAAACGCACCATAATAATTAAAATAATTACATTGTCATGATAAACATTTTGTGACGTCTATTTAGAGATTCACGTAAGATACAGAGTCTATCTAGTTTTCCTTCCCTATTTCGATTCGATAAATTCACGTACACATTTTTTCATAGATCAAAGAGATTGCGAAACAAAAAGTCCCATTGTCTAGACTTCTAGAGGCACAGTGGTCAATCATTATTAAAGAGACACAAATGAATTAATAATTAATGAAGTTTCACTTGATAGTACGAATTAGAATTTCCAGATTGCATTCAACTTGTACAACAAATCTATTTTAACAGTCCTTTAGAACGTCCAAATCAATTAATAATGTAGTCTGTGACTGCACTAATGAGAAATTGGCGTAGTATTTAGAACATTCTTCTCTGGAACTTTGTTGTAAAAATATTTAGCTAAGAAGTCCAATGATCTCAAAAATACAATAAGCTTATTTTCACTATAATACTTTGTGGCAAGAAGAAAAAAAGATAAATGGAAATAGGTGCGTAAGGTTAGTATGCCATTGACCACTCTTTAGTTCTTGCTTGATAAAACCAGATATTTAAAGCAGAATCTGTTAAAAAATTTAAGCATATTTAAAAATAATTACCAAATAGATATCTACTATGATAATGGCAGTGTCATTTTTTTATAATGAAATCAACTAAGTACACTTTTGAAATGTAATTACAATTTTGAAAATAAATTAAAAAAATCTTTTGCATAAAATACACAGTCTAAATTTTCACAGTACCTAGTCAACTAAAGTAAAACAATGTTATTCCAACTGAATTCTTCGGACGGGTGGCTGCACTGTCACTTATCACTTACAATTCACTTAGTCAGAATGCAGTGAAAACTTCACTGTTCGCTTCACTCAACCACACTCCTGGTTTGTGATTGTTACATGTTCTAGGTTGGTGTCCGTTGATTTCGTTGCACTAGTTTTGTCGCCTTGATTCGATGAATTTCCTGGGGACAAAACAAATAAAGTTTATTTAAAAACGATTCAAGATTTCTGAAGATATAGGGACTAGTTTGAAAGATGCCTTAAAGGTGCTTATGTCCATTATCACCATCAATCCAAAATTGTGTTAACATAGAGACCACTTAAAAAATAGGGATTGATGGTGAAAACGGGCATTAGTAAAACCAAATATTTCCTGAGTATTTTAAAATGAAATAGTAACTAAAATAAAAAAAATACATGAAATAATCTATCTGGCAGTTAAAATTTTTTATGCTGTTTTTGATACTGACTCAACTTTATTTTTGCAACATAAGCCTCATTTGCACCATCAAAACTTTAACCGTAACTATAACTCAAACCGGTGTTTTTGTTTAGGCTGAGTTGCACCACCTAACTTTAACGGTAACTATAACAATAACCTGTGCTTTTTGTATAGAGTTTGACAGACTTTTGACGTTTGTTAAAAATAAAGTAAGATGGTGCATAAAAAGGTAAAAAGACAAAGAACATTAAAGGCTGAGCCTTTAATGTTCTTTGTCTTTTTACCTTTTTATTTAATTTTTTACCAGCTTTCAGCCCGCGTCTTCGCCCGGGGTTTACCCGGAAATTATTCGAATTTTAAAATTAGTAAAAACCATCCTTGGACTTCAAAGAACATTTAAAAAAAATTGGTAAAATTGATCCAGGCGTTGTTGAGTTATGCGCTTACCAACACATTTTGCGATTATTATTTTTTTTATTAAAGAAGATTAAAGAATTTTTTTTGGAAAATTACAAAAATTACTCACCATTTAACCTACTTTTCAAATGTGGAAAAGTGTTAGTAGTTCTATCCATCACGCCTTTGCTGTAGTAAGCACTGGTGTTCTCCGTATTGAACCTCACTGGTGGCGAATTGGAACAACTCCTGGAGTCCTGCAGTCTTTCCAGGTGGTACCTGGGCTCCAGTTCTGGCATCTGGGCCAGGTTTAGGGGGTTTCTGCTTGGGTTGCTGTATAAAGATGGTGGGGATGCGTAGAGCTCGGGCGGCATTAGTTGTTCTGGGGGCAGCTGGTGGAAAGAAAGCAAAACATAATTATTTCTAGAAGAATATAGAGTTGAAGGTGGATAACAGACTGCCCGCAAACCTGTATACAGGGTGTTAGGTAAATGGGTATATGAGCCGACACTAGCCCATGTTAACATGGGCATATAAATGGTACGGTGATATTGATATATTCATTTTAATTATTTTAATTTTCATAGAAATCGGGTTTTATAAAATTTATTTTGTATGAAAATTAAAAAAAATAAAATGAAGATATCAATTTTCTGACTTCACCATGCCATTTATATGCCTATGTTAACATGGGCTAGTGTCGGCTCATATACCCATTTACCTTACACCCTGTATAGAAGCAGTCACGGGTGTTTTAATAAGCATACCGAATAAAAGAAAATACTTTCTGAAAATTAAAAAATGTTGAAATTTTGCCTATACAGGGTTATTTGTAAAACACCAACGACGTACCAGGACTAGATAGCTGATATCATTGTCCTATGAAACGCTCCATAGTGACTAAAAATTCATGAAATTATGCAGTTTCCAATTACTCACGCGTCCCTACTTCAAACCGTTTTCGAGAAAATTTTCATACAACAATAACCTGGTTGCTGGTGTTCTACAAATTAATAACCCTGTATAACTCAGTTTTTTAGCATGTTTGAAACCAAAATTTGTTATGCCTTGCAAAAGGTGCTATTGGATTATACTCGTACATTGTTAAGGTTCATCAAATTCCATCAAGTAGTTTCACACTTACCAAACCCGTAGTATTCAAAGGCAAAGCATTCTTATACTTCAGCCAATCTTCATACACCTTATCGTACGGCCTGTGACAATCGTTTGGCCCAACGTTCATGTGCAAACTGCTCATTGGCCCCAAGCTTTGTATACTGGGCCCAAGGTTGGCCATCGGCATAGGCTGGTACGTAGGTCGAACGCGGTAGTCTGGTCGAACCTGGATTAGAGATGTAAATTGACTGAATCTGGCCGGTCACGATGGTCAAAAACCTAATATACCTACAATTTAAAATGAAGGAACATTATTTTGTATTATATTATGAGAGAATAAGATGTCATTAAAAGTTGACTTGCGGGGCGATGCGACATTGCCATTTCACCTATAATGCACGTGAGCGGGGCAATTGCGTAGGGAAAGAAAGAGAGCACAATAAATCATTACAAAACACTTATTGTTTCAATTTAGAAGTTGTAGGCTCACTGTAAAATGTTCAACCTATAATAAATCATTACAAAACACATTTTTAAAAGAAGTAATTTATTAAGATGTTGTAGAATTTTATCAATCACAAAATCTAAGAAAAAACTTCAATAAGTACTAAATTATTACTGAAATGACATTGACCGAAAATGACCGTTTTTGACAGTTTGTAGTCAAAAACTAGTCAGTTTTTGACCGTTTTGTCCAATTTGACCGTAAATGACGGTCAGTCAAATTAAGCTTTAGTAATTTCCAACACTAACCTGGATATACTGGTTGCAGGGTTCTATGCTGTGGTCGTAGAATCTGTCACAGTTTGGAGGAATGTCGTATTTGTCGGATGGGGTTTTGGAAATTAAAGGTCGGATGGAACTGTAGTCTGTGGTCGACGACTTGTTCGAACAGCTGTCGCTTATTTTGCCATCTAGTGGAATGATGTCGGGGTTTTTATCTGGAAAGAAATTGGTTGTTAGTAGCATTCAAATGGTAAAAGACATTTAGGCTGGGTTGCACCATCTTACTTTAACTTTGACAAACGTCAAAAATCTGTCAAACACCATACAAAAAACACCGGTTAACGTCATAGTTACGGTCTAAGTTAGGTGGTGAAAATCAGCCTTAATATTACCGATATCAGAGTACAATATCAAGTGTTTATTTTATTATAGTGTCAACGAGATTAACACGCGCTGAGTAAAATGATCGTTGACCTATTGAAAAACTTTTCTTTATAACTTTAAACGAATATTGTTATTAGTCCAATTCTTGTCAAATTACCTAATACTTATTTTATTACCGATTTTGTACATCAATCTTGTTGGGAAGTGTCTTTTATGTGTAGCTGAATGGATCGAAACTACCTACTTCTACTTCTTTATATCAGTTTTTGATCAGAGTACTTACCTAAACTGTCAACGCTCTCAGTCTCTTTCGTGCCTGTCAGGGGTATATTTGACGTTTCATCTTGCTGTCGCTTGTCCTTCTCATTTTTATCTGGAAGGAACGAAACAGGTGTTGATGGATCTATAGATTGAATCAATGAGAACTAACTCATTCCAAATGAGTTAAAATATGAAAAGAATTTCAGCAGCAGATGGAGAGGAAACAAAAGTTTCTTAAAAAGTGAAATTGTAGTACCTAAGTAGGTACTACAATTTCAATGAAATTTTTGGCATGGCAGAACACAGAAGTAGAAGGTTACATTACACTATCACTCACAAGGTATCAGTTGTCGTAAGGTTCATCATCATTTCAGCCATAGGGCGTCCACTGCTAAACATAGGCTTCCCCTAATGATTTCCAGATTAGCCAGTTAGTAGCGGCCTACATCCAGCGCCTTCAGCTACCTTTGTAAGGTCGTCGGTCTACCTTGTGGGTGTATATGGCCTCCACTGCAGCCGTAAGGTTGAGGTACTTACTGTCCCTCTCATGGCAGTACCGACAGCAGAACACAGCAGCTGATGCGGCTGTTACAGCAGCAATAACACCCACAGCACACAGCACGACTATCAGAACAGTTGTCAACTCCACTTTCACTGGGACTTGTGCTGAGGACAAAGAATGCTTTGAGTTTCTAGAATTTTTCTAGATCCATCTGTACAATATTATGGATTTTTATTTGTTGTGGTGTGCTATAAAGACTACCTCTTCTCTTATTCTTACCTCTTCAACTCCTACTAGCCACAGGATCAGTTTGGTCGCCAGAGAAGCTTGACTAGAGCAGGGTTTCCCAAATATTTTTTTTGCCAAGGAACCCTAATTGATTATACTTTTCCTAGCGGAACCCCCGTACTGCCTGCATGCCCTGCCCCTCCCTTGTGCGTAAACAAGTCGGTGCGAGCGAACAACGTCAGTCACGAAACGTGGGATAATATTTTTTACGGAACCCTTGCGGCCTTTCCACGGAACCCCAGGGTTCCGCGGACCACCATTCGGGAACCGCTGGACTAGAGTACCTATTGAGACAACTAACTGGATTGGAACTAGGGATGTTATGGATATGTAGTTTCGGTTATGGATACGGTTAAGGATATAGGAATAATATTATACCGGTTACGGTTACGGATATTTTTTATTTCGGATATCCGAAAGTTACGGTTACGGTTACGGTAACGGATATCCATAACATCCCTGATTGGAGCGAGCACGACCCTCTATAAATATCAGAGACAGATGGAGAATTAACGCATCGTGTACTTTAAAACTGGACACTAATGCCCGTTTTCACCATCAATCCCTAATTTTTAGGTGACCCCTATTTAAACAAAATTCCTGTTAAGTGTTACCACAGGGGTCACTTAAAAATTAGGGATTGATGGTGAAAACGGGCATTAGTCCATTAAATCCATTTAGTAGTTTTTACGTGAAAGAGACCATAACTAACAAACATCCATCCTCACTGATTTGTAATATTAGTAGGGTAAAATATCTATGGTGTACCTCGTAATGAGTGATGAAAGATTATGCCTTTATTTTAGATAAAATATAATAAGAAATAAGACTTTTCCTACAAATGCGGCGTCTACAGCCTCATTAGTCTACGTCTTCATTAACGGCCATTAGTTCGCAGAGCACGCTTAGAGGCACTAATTCAATCCGAACTAGTGGACACGGTGGCTTTACTGTACGGGAATGCCTGTGTAATGCAGGTAATCGAAACTGAGGAATTAAAGCTACTTGATTTGGTGTGGTTTCCTTAAAATAAAAAATCCTATAACAATACAAACAACTTTTGTAACGNTAGCGTTATTACTGTTTTTATTTTATCAGGATATACTGATGAGTTTAAAAGTTATTACGTTTTCTTTATAATAAGTAATTGGAAGAAAAAAATTCTATAAAAAAATAAAAAGAAATCTCAAAAATTTTTTGACCTATTTTTTGTCGATAAAAATAGGTCTAGTTTCATCTATTTTCATATGTACACTTTAACGTGACTCACACTGTATATCTATCTATCATCTATCTATCTACTTACTGTCCCTCTCATGGCAGTACCGACAGCAGAACACAGCAGCTGATGCGGCTGTTACAGCAGCAATAACACCCACAGCACACAGCACGACTATCAGCACTGTTGTCAACTCCACTTTCACTGGGACTTGCGCTGAGGACAAAATTAATGCTTTGAGTTTCTAGAATTTTTCTAGATCCATTTGTACAATATTATGTATTTTTATTTGTTGTGGTGTGCTATAAAGACTACCCCTTCCCTTATTCGTACCTCTTCAAATCCTACTAGCCACAGGATCAGTTTGGTCGCCAGAGAAGCTTGACTAGAGCAGGGTTTCCCAAAATTTTTTTTTGCCAAGGAACCCTAATTGATTATAGTTTTCCTAGCGGAACCCCCGTACTACTCCGCCTGCATGCCCTGCCCCTCCCTTGTGCGTAAACAAGTCTGCGCGAGCGAACCACGTCAGTCACGAAACGTGGGATAATATTTTTTACGGAACCCTTGCGGACTTTCCACGGAACCCCAGGGTTCCGCGGACCACCATTCGGGAACCGCTGGACTAGAGTACCTATTGGGACAACTAACTGGATTGGAACTAGGGATGTTATGGATATGTAGTTTCGGTTATGGATACGGTTAAGGATATAGGAATAATATTATACCGGTTACGGTTACGGATATTTTTTTTCGGATATCCGAAAGTTACGGTTACGGTTACGGATATCCATAACATCCCTGATTGGAGCGAGCACGACCCTCTTTAAATATCAGAGACAGATGGAGAATTTGGACTACACTTCCCATGCTGGCCAGGCGGGTTGGGAAGTGCTGATGTTCGCGTATTTGTCCTATAGTTAACGACATCCATGGGAAGAGAAGGTGATCCTATTCTACTCTATCAGAATCACACAGCCAAGGGCAATTAGTATCTAATCAAACTCTAGAGACAAAGCACACGATACTCGTCAAATGACGGAGCGTGGATAGTGTGTTTAAGACGACGCGTCGCATCGCCGCCGTATGCTTTGGCTCTTACTATTACGGAAAACTGGACACTTATTACAAAAAAAAACGAAGAAATGACTTTTTTACAAATGCGGCGTCTACAGCCTTTAGTCTACTCATCAGTCTATGTCTTCATTAACGTGGCATTAGTTCGCCGAGCACGCACTTAGAGGCACTAATTCAATCCGACCTAGTGGACACGGTGGCTTTACAGTTGGTAACACGGGAATGCTTGGGTACCTAATGCAGGTAATCGAAACTGAGGCAATAACGCAAGTGATTGGGTTCGGTTTCCTTAAAATAAAAAATCCTATAAACAAACAACATTTGTATCGTAGGTACGAGTATGTAGTTATTACGAAGAAATCGTTAAAATTGACAAATACCTACTTACCTAACAGATAAAAGTGCTTAAACTAGTAAGCAATAAAATAGTTTTATGGAGTACCTACCTATTGTAGTAGGTTTAATATTATTGATTTTTATCAGGAAGAGACATTAACATCTTTCGGAATCAACGTTTCGACCAAAATCTTCCATTACTGGACTTAACAGGATTTTCCACCAGTCCTGCATGCCTGCTACCTAACTGCTTACGTCATCGAATCAGATATGAGAAGCACTGTAGGAGAACCAATAAAACTGCTATAGCCGATACTAAAATTGCAGTGCAAATGCTTAAATGGCAGTCAGCGGGGCACACAGCTTGCATCCTTAATTTACGAAAATGGTCTACCTGTATGTGTCGTTTAACCTGTAAATAAATACTGACCTGTGTGCCGTTGCGGGTACTTCAGCAAACTGGACGTCAGGGTCAGCGGTTCGCTAGAGCCCTTCTTGTTGAAGGCTCGTACTGACACAGCAAGGGACATGCTTGCTGACAGCCCGCCGACTTCGAACTCTGGCTCGTCGTTGCTGATGTTTCGGAGAAGGAGACCGGTGGCCATGTCGAAGACCTGGACAAAGATATGGTTGAGATAAAAAGATAAAGATAAAAGATCATTTATTCACCGAGACAAGGTAATACAACAAGGTAGATGTTACAATAGTTATACAGTTCAGCTTATCTCACCAGCAAGCTAGTGTGTGATTATTACATTTTTTTTATTGACCCATGCATAGTTAAAAAAAATCTGAACTTTCCAACTACAAACAAAGAACAGATAAATTATTTGAATTACAATATGTCAATAAAGATAATGTCAGTAAATATATGTCAGTTGTTCGAATACAGTCAAGATTAATTTTAATTAATGTCAGATTCAGTTGACAGTCAGATTCGGTTGAGAAACTTCTTCATCATCAGGTCTCTAGTCTTCACTGGAGAAGCACAACCCTCTCCAATTTTTTCCATGTGCAGACACACACCCTAAGGGACTGTGCACATTTTCGGGATGGCACGGTAATGGATTTTTAGGTGACGATTATTCATTATAGTTTTAATGATACTGTTGAATTGCAATGTTAATGGTTTAATTTAGCATGCCGCTGCATGCTTAGGAATATCGAAGGGTGTTAAAACTATAAATTACATTATTATTCGTCACCTTGTCGTCCAGATAATGTGCGCAGTCTAAACATGTGAAGGTTTACGTTTTAACTTTGGCCTACTTTTAAGATTGGAAAAGATAAATAATAATAGGCACAAAGTGTTTGTAAAATTTCTCTTTTTTTAATGCGTTCGACGGCAGCGCTACCTTGATATCCTAATATTTTCCAAAAAATCCGTATTCCAAAATCTTGCTTCACACTGCGACGCTCCGTTTACCCAAACAAAAACACACATCGTTTCATTTTAATAAATAAGTGAGATACACCGAAACGGGGCAATAAATCAGCTGGCTAAGACCCCAATTCATCGGCAACGGGTAAGAAAAAACAAATATAATCTTAGAAGACAAGTAAACAACAAATTCAATGTGACAGTTTCGTGTGGGGGGAATTGCCGGCCCCTTGCGTTAAGGGGTAAGGATACGGTTTAGTTAACGATGTTTAACGTAACTGGGTGTAAGAATTATGACATTGTTTTATGAAAGAGGTTTGTACTTAATTTATAGGTTGTGTGAAGTTGTTGATAGGTACTCGTAATCCATTAAATAAGCGAGAGTATGTTTTTGAGTCCCAAAGAGGTTGTAGTCGGAAAACAAAAGCTAAAGTAACTGCAGAGATTGATAATAATATTATTATACAGGCTGTGGTTTTGTAAAACAACGCCCATCTAAGGGGTGATAGTATACACGACACTGATGCCAAAAAATACCTTAAATTTTCATGGAAAAATCCATGAAATCAGGAAATTATGGTATATTATTACACGGGCGAGTTATCGGTCATTCCCCCCGCTTTCTCGGGGCGGCGGCCGCGGCGGTGGTGTAGGAATTAGGATACGTTTGAACAAGGTTTTTAGTAATAAAGTTTTTTTTTATGTGACAGGAGGTAATAGTTAAATATCTATTTATATTCTTCTTCTAACTACTTTCATGTGCACTTCGACCCCTGAGATGGGCATTGATTTACAAAATCACACCCTGTATTTGTGTGCATTCTTCTTTCTTTCGCTCTGGTTAGTTATTAGAAGTAACTGGAGAACGCCACTCGCTGTGATAATAGCTTGTACTTCTTTCTACTGTTGGTCTTTGTGTCTTTTCACTATTTTTATTTCAGTAAATTAATTATTTTTAAGCGGACTTTTGTGGTGAAGGAATGACGGTCAACCCCACCATTCCGAATGTTATAGTCAAATAATTGACAAAGATGCCTAAACTTTAGGCAACTGCTGGGTAGCAACTAGCAGTGTTTATGAGTAAAAACTTACCTGCAGAAGGAATGACTGTCGGATGCCGCCATCATGACCCGGAGTGCAGTTGAGGGTTAAGGAGTCGTAAGTGACGTTAGTGATCTCACACGCCTTCACTGCTGATGGTTTGTCTGTGAGGAAGAGAAATATTTATTGATAAAAAAACATGGTGGAATGTTTGTAACCGCATCACTTCAGAACGGATGTACCTACTATTCTTTACGTCCAATAGGCCGCAGTTCAGTGTCAAGGTTACGAATGACACATGACAATTCGGTATTAACGAATACGAAAAAAATTTGGCTCAATTTTGTATTTCCAATATCGATATCTCAATATCGAGGTCTCTAGAAATGAGAACTTGATGGAGATATTGGTAGTTCAGGGCCAGGTGGAAGGCGGTCGATCCCCTGCCCGCTGGATAGACGCCATCACAAAGGCCACTGAGTCCACCATGGTCCAGTGTACTCGCGACGCCTCTAACCGTCAGAAATGGAAGCACATCGCCAGGAGAGCTACCCTCGGAGATGACATCGAATCGAATACCCCACCGTGTACCTCGTTAACGCAACTACGACTGACAAGAGTGCCTGACTAAGAAGAGAGATTATATTAAGACGACCACAAAAACGTTGTTATCCGTGCACACCTAGGAAAGAAGTAACCACCACCATCTAGTTATGGAACTTGTCAAAGTGGTTTGAATGAAATGGGTGTCACCTGCACCATGCTACAGCGAACGAACTATAGTTAAGTTTATTGTAAGTACTATTTCTCTATCAGATTGAACTCAAATACCTAGATACACAGACAGTTAGCTATCAACGACTAGCATTAAAATGTTAGCTTGTGGCTTTATTACTCTAATAATTGCAGGTTTCTGTTTCATTCGTCGCCCAGCTTGACGTGACACTGTAGAAGTACAACGACATGGACATGTGGGAAATCACGGGTTTTCCTATTTTCCCCTTTTCCTTTTTCACCGAAGCCGGAAGAATTTAGATGGAAATTGTTCTTGGAAACGTTATGGTGTGGAAATAGTTTTCCTCATTTATACGGTCTTTATTAATAGTAATACAGATCTCGTGTAAGTATATACTTTTACTAATAAATCGATATAAAGAGAATTGGTGAGCTTCTCATACAAACGTATCTCTTTTAAATAAGTTATTAGAGTACCAGATGAAAGGGATTCATAGGAATTCCTTCTGCTGATAAGACAAGGATCAAGATAGGTACCTCATCTGAATGGCTTGGTGTGCCTGTAGACCGCCACACCACCCTACCGATCCAACCGCTGGACAGGGGGCGACTGTCAGCCGCCCGGACGGATTGTAATTTAAAAAGTCCTTTATTTAGAGTGCATNCACGTAGGTATGTAGTTATAGTTATTACGAAGAAATCGTTAAAATTGACAAATACCTAGTTACCTAATAGATAAAAGTGCTTAAACTAGTAAGTAACAAAATAGTTTTATGGAGTACCTACCTATTGTAGTAGGTAGGTTTAATATTATTGATTTTTATCAGGAAGACACATGTACATTAACATCTTTCGGAATCAACGTTTCGATCAAAATCTTCCATTACTGGACTTAACAGGATTTTCCACCAGTCCTGCATGCCTACTACCTAACTGCTTACGTCATCGAATCAGATATGAGAAGCACTGTAGGAGGACCAATATACTGAAATTGCAGTGCAAATACTTAAATGGCAGTCAGCGGGGCACACAGCTTGAATCCTTAATACCTTTACCTATTGTGAAACCTGTAAATAAATACTAACCTGTGTGCCGTTGCGGGTACTTCAGCAAACTGGACGTCAGGGTCAGCGGTTCACTAGAGCCCTTCTTGTTGAAGGCTCGCACTGACACAGCAAGGGACATGCTTGCTGACAGCCCGCCGACTTCGAACTCCGGCTCGTCGTTGCTGATGTTTCGGAGAAGGAGACCGGTGGCCATGTCGAAGACCTGGACAGAGATAGTTGTCATCATCATTAGCATCATCATCATCATCATTATCATCATTATCTTCACCATTATATTTATCAGATTTTCAGTCTCTACATGCAAGAATACGACCCTCTTTAATGGAAAGACGCTAATGGAAGATTTAGGGACGAATCATACCTACTTGTCAACCCTGAAACGGATCGTAACCGTGTCAACGTGAGGCGGTCAGTATTCTTTGTATGAAATTCCATACTGCAACGCACACTTATCCGTACCATAATGTAATCGCCTCGCTTCGCGGCAAAAAGCGATACGGTGTTGATCCCTTTCTGGATTGATAAGTGTGCCGTGACCTTTAGCTTACACTCCCCAAGTTGGGCAGAAAAATATGAAACTTTTCAAAATGATTTAATATTAAAAGAGCTTTTTGGCCTTTAGCCCTAACCTCACACACAGGTATAAGTTTTACCTCTGGCTTTTTTAATTGTTCCGTTAAGATTTTAAAAGACATACCGAATAGGCGAAAGGGGTAAATAAAGTTTTTCAATTGTGTATTTTTTTTCGTATACGTTAAATGGAAACGCTGCTACCTTGATATCCTAATATTTGTCGGCCGTTTGGTGTAGTGGTTTAGAACGGACTACTATGCCGAGAGGTCCCGGGTTCGATTCCCGGCCGGGCAGAAATTGAAATTATGAATTTTAATTTCTGAGACGGGTCTGGGTGTTACTATGTATAATGTGTATGTATTTACAAAAAAAAGTATTTAAGTATTTTTATATCCGTTGTCTAGTACCTACCCAACAAGCTTTGCTTAGTTTGGGACTAGAAGAGTAGTATAAAATGTCCAAGGATATTTATTTATTTTCCAAAAATCCTTGTTCTAAAATCTTGCTTCACACCGCGCCCGCGACGCTCCATTTACCCAAACAAAAACACACATCGTTTCATTTTAATAAATAAGTGAGATACACCGAAACGGGGCAATAAATCAGCTGGCTAAGACCCCAATTCATCGGCAACGGGTAAGAAAAAACAAATATAATCTTATAAGACAAGTAAACAACTAATCCAATGTGACAGTTTCGTGTGGGGGAAATTGCCGGCCCCTTGCGTTAAGGGGTAAGGATACGGTTTAGTTAACGATGGTTAACGTAACTGGGTGTAAGAATTATGGAATAGTTTTATGAAAGAGGTAGGTACTTATACTCGTAGTCTGGGCTAAGCTGAGATTGTTCAGTAAGTTGTTGATATTTGATAAATCATTGAAGAGACCAAGCAAGAGTAATGTGTTGAGAGTCCCGCAAAGGCTGTAGTCAAAACACAATAAGGCCTTTTAAATGAGATCTATAGATAAAACGATGTAAGTAATTATTTATTCTTCTTTATTCTTTCTTTCTGTTTGGTTATTGGAAGTTAGTTACTTGAGAACGTCCTCGCTATTGGCGGATTTACACTATGCGGAAATTAGACGAGTCAAGTCAAAAAAACAGATGAGAGGGGATGAAATTCATACATTTTTGATCCCCACCCCACTGTTTTTTTGACTTGACTTGGCTAATTTCCGCGCAGTGTAAAAGCAGCATATGATTTTTAACAGCTTGTACTTCTTTTTACTTTATGTTTCCGCTATTTTTTTTAAATAATAATTATATAAATATGTTTTTTATTTTGTTTTGACTAAAGTACATTCCTCTAAATGACCCAGTATTTATTTAATAGTGAATGAATTCATCTCTTCCATAAGTCGACAGCGAAACGGCCATGCCACATATTTTGACAAACGTGTAGAGTTAAAATTGTGGCTCTATGAAATCTTATAACTACATAGTAGTGCACTCCATACGGTCTCGTCTTGGCACTATGTGAAAATGTTTTTGGTATAAATAGCAAATACTTACCTGCAGAAGGAACGACTGTCGGATGCCGCCATCATGACCAGGAGTGCAGTTGAGGGTTAAGGAGTCGTAAGTGACGTTCGTGATCTCACACGCCTTCACTGCTGATGGTTTGTCTGTAAGAAAGAGAAATACTTATTGATAAAAAAACATGGTGGAATGTTTGTAACCGCATCACTTCAGAACGGATGTACTATTCTTTACGTCCAATATGGCCAATAGGCAGTGTCCTGACACTGTAACCTGTTACGAATGATATGACAATTCGGTATTTTTTTTTATCCACAACGAGGAAGCCCTTGGCCTTTATCTAACCTGATGGTAAGTGATGATCAGGCCGAAGGTGGAAGCGAGCTTCACCCGAAATCCTCAACTACGGAGGAACTGGCTATCTTACCTCTAACTGCCGGAACACAACAATGCTGTTAACATTATTGTTATGGCGACAGACTTAGGTAAGATGGTGGTAGCTAGCCAGGCGGACTTAGAACAAGCCCTACCACCAACCAAACCGAACAGAAAAATCTGTCACCTACACCATGCTACAGCGAACGAACTATAGTTAAGTTTATTGTAAGTATTACTTTTCTATCAGTGTCAACTTAAATAACTGGATACACAGACAGCTATCAACGACTAGCATTAAAATGTTAGCTTGTGGCTATATTACTTTGATAATTGCCGGTTTCTGTTTCATTCGTCGCCCAGCTTGACGTGACACTGTAGAAGTACAACGACATGGACACGTGGGAAATGACGGGTTTTCCATATATTTTCCCCTTTTCCTTTTTCACCGAAGCTGGAAGAATTTAGATAGAAATTGTTCTTGGAAAACGTTATGGTGTGGAAAATGTTTTCCTCATTTATACGGTCTTTATTAATAGTAATACAGATCTATTGTAAGTATATTACTTTTACTGAGAAATCGATATGAAGAGAATTGGTGAGCTTCTCATACAAACGTATCTCTTTTGTTATTATATGAGTTATTATAAAATGAGTTATTAGAGTACCACATGAAAGGGATTAATAGGAATTCCTTCTGCTGATAAGACAAGAATCAAGATACCTCATCTGAATGGCTTGGTATGCCTGTAGGCCACCACACCACCCTACCGATCCAACCACTGGACAGGGTGCGACTGTCAGCCGCCCGAACGGATTGTAATTTGGAAAGTCCTTTATTTAGGTATGTTGGTAACGGTAATTATCCTATAGGTGGGTCCCGAGTTAGAGAACTTGTATTTGATGAGTCGTAGCCCAGACAACCACTGATCTAGATAATTGACTGAGATTCGAAAACCAATTGCAAGTGTATAGGTGTACCAGAATCTCATGGCAAATAGGGAAAATAAACTTTGTTGAGAGCAACACTGGGGAAATTAGAATAAACGATCTTGATACTGTTTAATTTTTATGACTTCAGTATTAATGAACAAGACGTACGTACTAACCTAACCTAACCTAAAATGTATATTCATTTTTAGGTTGGTATGTGTATGAAGAATGTTGTTATACATCGGATTTTTAACATAGGAAAATGTCTTGAAAAATAAATAAATCGTATATTACTTTAAGTAGGTAACTAATTTTATTATGCATCATAGTACTTATCACTTCATTCAGAACTAGAAAACGATTCTAAGAGCTCCACTTGCATTTCTTGTTCTTCAATAGATCAAGATAAAGAGGTATTGTAAGTAAATTGCTCTTCCAGCATTTAAAAAAACATTATAATTCTCTGAATGGGATTAAAATATAGACCAGAACTAAAAAGACGGTGAAGTTTTTTTTGAAATCCATCAAGAAATGTCTGAGAAATTAATTATTTAAATTACCTATATATTTTCGCGTGGAACTGAAACATAGGCGGTGCCGTTCTTTTTGTATATGGGTCTGGGATATTTTTAAAAAAAGGTTACAAAATTTTACTAAGAAAGAATCTTGAGTGACCCTATCATCATCATCATCAACAGCCCTTTACAGTCCACTGCTGGACTATGAGCCTCCTCCACTATAGTAGAGGGTTTTGCCATAATCCCCACGCTTGGCAGGCGGGTTGGAGATCGCAGTTTAAGTTGAGGGACCCTAGCTGAAAAATAAAAACTGCTAGATTTAAAAAAAAATGGATCTGTCAACAGCACTGGACCAGAGGGGTGATTTACTGTTTATACTCCGAATTTTTATGAGTTTTACTTATTATATTTATTTCAAGTTTATTTAAAAGAAAAAAATTGGAAACTTTTCCATTATTCAATCTTGCTTGATGAAATCTTTTTCAATTTTCTTTACATGGACATAACATTTTGACCATTCTTCTATACCAATTTGTGAGATACACCTGAAAATCCCGATAAAGTAGCTATTAAGCTCCTTCTGACGCAGTTGAGTAATAAACTAAATGTATCAAAACATTTTAGTTCAACTTACCTACTGTCAACTCGACGACGCGCTTTAAAATCAAAGATTGACTTTGAATTATGCCTTATTTTACAATTCACATTGAAAACAATATGAATTGCTTGAGCTTTTTCGACTTTTACATAAAAATAACAAATAGTCAAGACGAGATTACAAAATTTTTGCAGCGGCTGACAGATTTCATAATTTTCTTTGATAGGTGACAATAAAGCCATAGACAATTGCCATATGAAAAACACACTTTTCCAATATTTTCGTTTGCCATGAGATTCTGGTAGACCTATACCACTAAAATGCTATTACCCTATCACTATGATCACATGCTGTCCACGTTTCACTGGAAAGCTTGTCAAAAAATGACGAGTAGGAAAAATATTTTGAATTCATCAGCCAAAAACGCCGCCATTTTTGTCTAGCGCGCGAAATTTAATTACAGGGGTGGTGAATCCGATGACATTAATATAATAGCTTGGTAACCTAAAAGTTTTTGCTGTAATACTGTTTAGGGTTGCCATGAGGAAAAATAGAAATAGGTACTTAGCGAAATTAACATAATTTAGGCCATCAGCGATGGTAAACATTTTTTAAAATTTTCTAAACACACTTAAGTTTTAAGCTATTCTAAAAATAGCTTAGGATTCTTCTTTTTGTTGTATAAATGGCTATCCATTGTTAACTAAGTATTCTATAAATATTTTGTGTTCTACAGAATGCATAAAATAGGCACTGTGTTTCTTTTTTATTTTGTTTATTTATATTTTTTTTTCTTTATTCAGAAACCAAATAACAAAAAATGTCTGTGAAACTGGCTTAACAACACCTTGAGTAAATTAAAGTAAAATTTTACTAAAAATGCAGAAAACATTGCAATTTCAACCAATTAAAGCTATAAAAAGTCATAAAAGTAGATTATTTTCTGCATTATTTCTGACTTTCTAAAAGCGCTTTTATACGTCCCTATATACTTTAGCCCTACCACAGCTTTGGGACAATAACGGGCCAGTGTGCAGTGGGTAGTTTTTCAAGTATGAATAGTATTTAGTTTGAACAATAGCGTGCAGTGCATACAGACAATTAAGCAGTGTTTTGTTGATAACAATCAGTGGCTTGTAATTTATGAATTCCTAGAAATAAAACTAGCGCACGCCCATCTACACAAATTGTAGCGTTTTTAAATAATTTGAAATAGAGATTAGGGCTCGTTCCCACGGCAATCCAGTTTTGTCCAGTAATGCAGGATCCCGCAAAACTGGACTGTCATGAGAAATATGAAATAAACGATTTGAATTTGAAAAAATCGAATTACAAAAAATTTAAACGGGCATGTTTTTTGCGAGACTGCAAAGTGCAAACGGGATGTTCGTGTGAACGTTTTATTATTAAAACACGTATACAGTAGTAAAACTTAAACGTATATGTTTTGTAAAACGGGATCCTGCAAAAAACGGTTCTTGCAAAACAGCGATGTCTCCGTGGGAACATGCCCATACTGTGTATCAAACTATTCAAGCAATAACTAACAAAAAGTTCCTATTCTACATCAAAAATTCAAATTGTTAGATAAGATACACGTTATAAATTAAATATTCTATTTTAATAAGCATGATTGATTATTTTAATTCATTTCCTATTTTAAATGTATTTCTCAAAATTAATTAATAAAATATGAAATCAATAAGTCGCTCAAAACATCATGTGGTGTTTCAAGACGTTTCCGTTTTCCCCACCACTGTGAACTTGTTTTGATCGACTTATACTTGTTAAATAATAAACTTGTTATAAATTTAATATTGTATTTTAATAAGCATGAATAATTATTTTACATCGTTTACTATTTTATAAATATGTCTACAAAATTATTAATTAAATGTAAATACAATAAGTCTCTCAAAACATCAGGTGGTGTTTAACGTTTCCGTTTTCCCCACCACTGTGAACTTGTTTTGATCGACTTATACTTGAAATCAATGTCGGAGCGTCAGTCGAAAATAAGACATCGAACTGATCGGAGCTCTTGCTCGCTGTGATTTTTGTAATCAATAAAAGTGTGAAAGTGCTGCTCGTCTATCATTTACCGCCTGAAAGTTATTAAAATCCCTCCAAAAATTGGCTGCAAAACAAGTTCTGGGTACGTATTGAAAATATCACGGTTGATTAAATCAAGTTCTACTTTTGAACTGGCAACCCTAAGTGTTGGAGTCAGGCCAGACTCTGTTGTCATTTGAATTGCTAGTGGCAATACCGAAAATGTACACGCTGCGCTCTTTTTGAAATTGTTGCCATATTTTTTGCGGAATCTACATATGGGTATGAAAATTGTATGAGTTGTAATACGTTATGTTGATTATACTTAGCAAAATCATGTATGTAGAGTCGCCAGCGCTTTTATATTTTTTTTAAAAACCTCTGTTATTACAACTGAATTAAACTATAACAGTTATTAGCTTGATGTGCTGCCATCTGTACTGATAGACAGGCTGTGTTAAGAAGTTCCGTGTTTTGCAGGATCTAATCATGTGAACTAGAGATGGGTTATACTAGGTGATACTAGGTGCACCTATTCCTAGTATTTATTAATACTCGATCCAAATACCTATTCCACCTAGTACGTAGTAATTTAGCATAGGTACTTGACGCGACTAGTGCGGACTAATCCACGTAATATGACTTTAAAATACAATTTTCTTTGAAAAGATACAAGCGTAGTATGAATAATGCAATTTGAAATTGAATAATAATTCCTCCCTTCATACTTTAACAGGTTTAGGACTGTCAACTTAAAAGTTGGCGTATTTAAAAGATATCAATTTCAAAAAAATATATTTACATATTTTTTCTTATTTACATGACTACGTTTGTGTGCGTTTGCTTCGTCGCGCTCAAATTTGTTTGGCCAGACAGAGACGGAGTGAATCTCTAATTTCGCACATAAGCTTAGCGAGAAATACTAGGTGCGCGTAATACACGCCTACGGATTACGCAATAATAACCTCTATTACTTTGATGGTAGGGTCGGAAATCGTGTAATTTATAAAATACTAGGTGGATCAAGTATTTAAAAAATTGGAATAGGTGCCGCCTAGTACTGTAAAATACCTAGTGTGTGGATCTGTTCTAGTAAATACGTCTCATCTCTAATGTGAACCGATCCGTTGGAATTTGTAGTTCAAATTCAATAGAGAATTTGATATGTGTTCACATGATACGAGTAGTTCAGTTTTGCGGTTTTTTGGCAGTCCTGCGTTACTGGATCCCGCAAAACTGGATTTGCGTGGAAAAAGACCATAATACCGATAAAACGTGTGTTTTTGGATAACCATCGCATGCCCGTACTGACATGATTTTTATTTAGCCGTGTCTAGCAGTATACCCACTACAGCATATTGGAAAACATATTTATTGCATTATAGCTCCTGTTATAACTACACAAAATTCTACATAATTCTTAAACTAACACTTACCAGCAGGCAGGATATGGAAGAGGCAGGGTTTCGTCTGCCTACCCACGGAGTTGGTCCCCGAGCACTGCACCCAGCCGTAGTCCGATGACGTGTTCACCATGTACGTGAAGATACCTGGGGAGAATACATTATCATCAGGTCATTTAGTCTCCACTGCAGGAACTACCTTCTCTAATTTACCAGAGGTAAATGTAGGATTTAAACTACACTCCTTAGACGCTTTTACATCTACGGGAAGAATGGGGGACATGGGGGTGGTCTTGTTCTATTGTCATCATCATCATCATTTCAGTCACAGGACGTCTACTATTGCACATAGGCCTCCCTCAATGATTACCATAATGACCAGTAGGTAGCGGCGTGGCATACAGCACTTTCTTGCCTACTGTACCGAAAATATAATTCTCAATCTAATGAATGAACGTACCAACATCTCTTCTTCCCTTCCCCACTTTTTTTATCCAGATTTTTTTTAACAATTCTTTGTCTTTAATTTCTTTGACTTTACAATTCTATCCACAGTTAAGTATTGTTTACTCTCCCCAGATTCTTGTAGATAGTATGAACGTGCCAACACGTCGCCTGGTATAGGTGTACCNCAGAGGTAGCAGGAGACGTGGTAAGCTCATGCTTAGTGTGCGCTGAGCTGTTGAACCACCAGTGGTAGAACATAGCATCCTGTGGACAAAATAATTGTTATCATCATCATCATCTTCATCATCATCATCATCATCATCTCAGCCATAGGACGTCCACTGCTGAACATAGGCCTCCCCAATGTTTTCCATGTTGCCCGGTTGAATTGAAAAGAATTGTTAATTTAAATCTTATTTCATCATCATCATCTCAGCTATGCGACCACGATGTTGTTGGTCCACCTTGTCGGTGGACGTCCCACGCTGCGTTTTCCGGTACGCGGCCTCCACTCCAGAACCTTGCTGCCACATCGGCTGTCAGTTCTGCGTACTATGTGCCCTGCCTATTACCATTTCAGCTCTAATCCGTCGGGCTATGTCAGCGACTTCAGTTCGTTTACGGATCATTTCTGATTCAATCTCGTAAAGAAACACCGAGCACAGCCCTTTCCTTTGTGCAACTTTGATCTTCTTCATATCTTATTTAGAAAATAACTTTTATTGAAAGAACGAGAAGAGAAAAAATATGCGTATGCAAATGTCATTTTAAACCAGCTCAACAAGCGTTTAACTTTTTTGTAATAAAGGTCTGAAAGTCGAGTTGAAGGCAAATACAGCTGTTGTTACCAACTGTCGCCTTATTGAAAATCATTTGAAGTAATCTAATAAAGCTTATCCTAATACAGCCTCCCTAAGGCCCAGAACAGACGGTGAAACGCAACTGCAACAAAACTGCAACTGCTAGTTACTTTTGAGTTGCATATAAGTTTCTGCCATAGCGACCGTTGAGAGACCACACATGACGCGACCAGTTTGAAACTTTCAGTTTCAGTTTCATTCATCAGAATCATCACAAAGTTGCAGTTTCGTTGCAGTTGCGTTTCACCGTCTGTTCTTAACGAACTTATATTCGATACGCAAAGGAAAGGTTTTCGCGCTGCCATCTAAAGAATGTCCGCACCTTCAATTCAACCAGAAAGCTAAAAGTCATGTTCACTTCCCATCTGAGGCAAGTTTTTTCCAAGTCAGTGGATAAAATGAATCTTTAATGAAATAATAGCAAACGCTGTGTACATAAGAATCAATTGAAAACCTGTAATTATTCGAAACTCTGTTTCGATGCACGATCAATACGAGGTATGAGATCGGCAAACAAATTAAAACAATGTATGCCTTCCTTTGTTCAGGTACAATACATATGAATACGGATTTACGTAGAAATTGCACGCGAATATTGCTGGAAAACGCGGCTTTATTAGGATTATTAAACCGACATATCTGCTGACAGTGTTGGGCAGATATGTTGCACAGTTCTCTCATGTATATCATATTTATAATCTCGAACCTACAACTTAATGCAAAGCTTTTAAGTGACTTAGAAATTACTACTTTTCAATCATATACTTAACGTAATTTTTGATTCCGTTTGTCCTTAAGATTCTTGTTATTATTAACCAGCTCGCAATAAGCATGTCGCTAGCTCAGCCTGCTGCTGTCTTTATTGAGCATTTTAATCCGGGCCTTTTCAAGCCGAGAGTGAATAGGCACTTACAGGGTAGATATGTACCATCCTAGACTGCATTTCACTGAATATCATGTGTGTCATATAATATGACTATATGACTCATATTGCCAACTTTGTGCTCCATAGAAAGATGTTATCCCACCAAAAACATTATCATGTAAAAGGTTGCCAACACGCGACCACAACATTATAGCTCGCACTGTCAAAAAGTTATCAGAACTTATCTCACTCTACAAGAACTAACTTCAAATTACTAAACTTTAGTCAAAATATGTGGCTCGGCCGTATCGTTCGTTTCAAGCAATTCGAGCGTCATTATTGTAGTGTGCATGTGCACTCATGGATGCGTCATTATTGTTGTACACACACACTACAAAAATGACGCTAGGATTGCTTGATTGATCCGAACAATCATCTCGGGTCCAACTCCCCGCACTCCGCGCTTCCCTCGACCAAAAAGTGGTGGGGCGCGTCTTCGTGGATAAAACGATCTACATATGTATAATCAGGCATGCCGGCTGCTATTTGTAAAGTATACTCCCCGTTTCAGTAATTGTTTCATTAAATCCTCATGTTTTATGTAAGAAATTAAGATTTATTTGTTTCTGATGGTAATTTACTCCATCTTAAACACTTGCGTAGGAAAATCACTGTATTCTTGTTACAAAAATCGTTTAATAAAGACTTCGACGTTATCGAAAAAACATTTTGCTTTCAATAAATTGTTATTGAAAGGCTTCAAGAAATAAAAAAAAGCTTTTTGCTCGTTAGTAATGGATGCGAAAGTAACGTCGTCTATCGGTCTTTCTTTTGGCATAGAGATACCTAGTTTGTTTTAGAACATATTCTTCTGATTAAATTCAAAAGCTATCTCCTGGGACTACTCAGCCTTCACTGGTTGGGTTTCATGGAGGCCAAGCTGTAGATCCTGGCTATACAGGAGTTGCAGAAGTGGGAAAGAGAGGTGAGAATACAATATAAAGTGTAGGATAGTTCTTACTCGATATTTGCAAGGGAGACTAATGCCCGTTTTCACTACCAATCCCTAATTTTTAAGTGACCACTATGAAAAAAAATGCCTGATAAGTGTTACCATAGGGGTCACGTAAAATTAGGGATTATTGATGGTGAAAGCGTGCAAAAGTCTTTATATGACGAAAAATTCACGCCAGTAAATCCTAACACAAGCTAGTTACCAATATATGACGCCTCTTCCATCCTAAAGATGTTACACAAAGTATACTTGATCAATACTTTATCATCATCATATCAGCCATAGGACGTCCACTGCTGAACATAGGTAGCTGATTGCGTCTAGCGCCTTCTTTTATGATACGGGACTATTCCCACCTCTCGTTCCTACCGCTGCAACTCCTGTGTAGCCAGAATCTACAGCTTGACCGCCAATAAAAACCCAACCCGTGAAGGTCAAGTTTGTCCCGGGGGAAAGTTAAACTGTCATTGGACCCGCAACGAAATTAATCAGAAGAACATAGGAGGAGTTCGAAGTCAAGGCTCAACTTCGCTCCATTGCAAAGCGGATGATAGATGACAAACAAAGGTTTTTCCTGCGGCACATCATCCTTCTCAACATCCATCCATGATCCTACCTTTATGATGTCGTCGGTCTATCTTGTGACAAATACTCAAAAGTAGCATATTTGCGACACCCAAAAGTGTATGACTTTGTGGTGGGCGAGAACCCTGGAAAACGTCCAATTTATCGGGCCACCCGGTTATACGGAGCGGGTTAAGCCGGGAACTTCTCTATTTTCATTCCCGAAAACCGGTTTGCAATTAAAGCACAGTGTGTCCCTTTAAAAACATCGGGAAATCCAAATTGGAATAACTTGGACAAAGGGATGACGTAACATACAGGGTGTATGTGGAAACGTAATTAAAATTTCGTTGGACATTTTAGGCAACGCAACTAAAAAATATAAAGTTTTTTTAGTCGTGTACTCAATAAGACTAGATAAATGTTTGCAGTTATTGAAATGTTTAGCCTTTAAGAGTTGCATTTTTCAAGTTATTATAATGTTATATTTTTGGAATTCTACTGTTTTTTTTTTGGATCAGACGGGGAGGGACCTTCGATCGCCGTGCCCATTGGAAATGGGGGATCCGATCGTACTTTGAATGCTTAAAGAATATCCTATTTTCTACATACAAATTGACCGATTAATTTGTAGAGACAACGATTTATGACTTATAGTTGTTGCAATTCACGAAGGCGAGTGAGCTTTACATGTGTGGTGGCTCGGTGACTGTTCGTTTTCCAAAAGTTTTGATAGACTTTACACTATCGTTATATGCATGTACACACACAAGTAAAGTTCACTCGCCTTCGTGAGTTGCAAGAACTCTAATTGATTTTGATCATCATGAGAATCATCCCCTTTGAGATCTGAAAATGTTTGTAACATTCTGTATATAAAATGCATCAAATAATACACAGTCTTCGCAAAATAAACATATTTCGACCGCAAATACGGTAAAGTACTTATTTGCCCGTTGAATTGTGGAGTTTCGCATTAACATTAACGATAAAATGAGAAATGCTGGTATTTGCGAGGAATGGCGGTTTCATTTTATTACGTATGGCAACCGTTTATAGAAATACGGTGTTGCCATTTTTCATAGATATTAATAAAACAGATACATCATTTTAAGAAAGTTATCAACATTGCAGTGTTCCGGCAGTTAGAATTCCTCTGTGGTTGAGGATTCCGGGTGAAGCTCGCTTCCACCTTCCCTCTGATCACCACTTTCCATCAAGTGAGAAGCAGGGACGAGGAACAGCCTGTATTATACCAGTATACTTGATGACCGTTGGGGGAAAAAAGTTCTTGACTGGCGACCACGGGCCAGAAGACGAAGATCAAAGACCGAAGATCCAGTGAAGTACCTGCAACGGATAGTGCAGGACCGGTCGTGTCGTTGTGGAGATCTTTGTCCAGCAGTAGACGTCCTTTGGTTCATCATCATCATCATCATTTCAGCCATAGGACGTCCACTGCTTAACATAGGCCTCCCCTAATGCTTTCCATGTTGATCGATTGGTGCGGCCTGCGTCCAGCGCTTCCCTGCTACGTTTACGATGTCGTCGGTCCACCTTGTAGGTGGACGTCACACGCTGCGTTTTCCGGTACGCGGCCTCCATTCCAGAACCTTGCTGCCCCATCGGCTGTCAGTTCTGCGTACTATGTGCCCTGCCCATTGCCACTTCAGCTTGCTATTCCGTCGGCCTATGTCAGCGACTTTAGTTCGTTTACGGATCTCCTCATTTCTGATTCGATCTCGCAAAGAAACACCAAGCGTAGCCCTCTCCATAGAACGCTGTGCAACTTTGAGCTTCTGTATAAGGCCTATAGTGAGAGGCCACGTCATTTGGTTGATACGAAAAAAAACTGCCTTACCTTAGGGTTGGCATCCAAATCGCATTCGATGTCGATCATTTCCCCTCTCGCTGCACGTAACACCACTGGCTGGCTCGACTTGCAGGTCGGTGTGACTGCACAGAAGGAAGAATGACATTAATATTAAATAGGCAATCAAAATATTCAATTAACAGAAGAAATAATTTTGCAGAATAAAAATTCGCAAGCAGAACGTTGCTCGCGTTCTTTCGCTGATGTTCGCCGATCATTGGACTCTCCCTCTCGTACGTTCCATATGTACATACAGGGTGTCATGGTATAGGTACGTGGGATTTATTCGTCCTCAAGAATATTTAACACTATAAGACCAACGGTGAAATTGAAAATCATCTTCGTATAAAAATAACAAACTTTAACTATCCTTCATTGTTTGCCATGCAATATGTGTTTAATATTGAGATGCAGACATTGGGATAACTATTGTGTCAACACCCAAAAATAAACACAAAGTTTAGATCCTTGTATCGATTTACCCGACTGCTCGACGCAAAGAAAAATCATGTGTTTTTTATCTTTCTAATGATTTCACAACGATACTGATTTCTAGGAGGCCAAGTAAACTTTCTTTCACAACGATTTTAAGTTAGTTTCAGGTTCATAGAATCCTAAACACTCACATTTCACGTCCAGCATGAGATTCTCACTGGACCCCTCGCCCAGCCCGTTCCTTGCTGAGCACACGTAAGCACCAGCAGCCTTTCTTGACACATGCTGGAGGACCAGGCTCTGGTTGGCCAGGAGAACGCCTGGGCCTGGCTTCACTATTGCACCCTGGGGAGAACAGAAAAATATTATAGATATTATAGCGGAGAAAAGGCTGGTTGGCCTCCTGGCTAGTCAGTTGGGATCTTAGAGACGCCCCAGGCGTCGTCCGTCTGGCCTCACTACTGCCCCTGGGAAGAAAGGACAGATAAATGTAGCTTGAAATTCAAGCTTAAAGGTCTCACTGGTCAGAAGAACGCCTAGACCTGGCTTCACTATTGCACCATGGGAAAGAATGAACAGATAAGTAACCAGCCCCTAGTGACAAAACAACATAATTTGGTACCTATGTTACGAGTATGATGCCTATGCTAAAAGCTTACGTATTTCATTTTATTGATGATTTTAGTTTTAGAAGTATGGTTTTAGAATCAGACGACAAAATATATTAAGTAACTAATAATTCTAGAACTGACAAATATTATTACTTACATTATGAGTGAAGTATACATGTGTGTGCCACGGGTTCGCTCGCACCCTGCAGTCTAAGTACACGTCGGATCCTTCCACCACTTTGCTGGCATCCAGATTGGCTCCCAATTCCAGTTTTACCACGGGTAAATCTGTGGGAGAAAGTGTTTGTTTACACATCTTTTGTGTGACCATAAGGTTGAAATTCGACTGTCAAATGCTAACTTCTATGTACAGAAGACAGAAAATAGGCTTTTGAAAATCACTTTTACATTTCCCAGCATTGGCATTAACCCTACCACTGCTTCGGGACAATAAATGGGCAAGTGCTGAGAAGAAGCTGTGTGGTATGTTATTAGTTGGACGACACTGAAGTGATCATTATATGACAATAGCTTGCGGCTTCACCCGCGTGAAATTTAGTTTGTCACAGATCGTCATAAACGTTTCAGAATATGTAATGAAAAAATGGACAGTGAAAAATGTTGCAAAAACGGCAAAAATATTTAATTAATTTTGTATGAAGTTGCGGGCACAGTTTACTACATTGTTGATAACACAAAATTATACAATCAATGTAATGACTGATTAAAAATGTCCCTCGTAAAATATTTGCTCTCGATTTTATATGAGCTTTGGTTTGCCTTGTATTTGGTGCCAATTAAGCAAATAAATGCACTTAATTTGATTACTCCGGATACAGTTATTTGGTATATTATTGTGGTGATTTTAATTAAATTAAGCAGAATTGTTTGTCTGATTCACCTGATAGCGAATTTCTATAGATAGATAATGTCGAATTATTAAACTGTAAATAAAGTGTACTCAAAAGTTATTTTTCCTATTTTTGGTGCACTTTTTTCGAGTACCTAGTCTCTCAGTCCACCTCTAGAAGTTCTAGAACACAGCAAAGTAGATTTCTGAGTTATTTCACACTTTTTTGCCTAATCTAGACTCAAAAAGATTTCAGTCTTTGATTTTTCCAAAATAATATCATAACTCTAACAATAAGGATGTTTCCTTAGTTTGATTAGAGTGCACTGGAGTTTGAGTTAGTCCGTCTGTTAACTTAACATTTTTTCAAACTAATGAAAATTGAGAGGTAAAGTGCGCCAAAGTTCAAACTTTTAAGCACTTTGTGACGTCACGCGGAACTTATATACTTGTTTGATTGACAAATAAATACGTGTCTAATATTTTTTGTTAATGTAATTGACGGTCTAATAGTTATTTTTAGGAAAATAGGCTATTACAAGTTGGAATCTTTGGTAGATTATGAATTTAGTTTCTAGACAGCTTTTAGAGTATACAAGACATCTTAAGATCGCCATAATTTAAGTAAAAGCTGTTATCCAGCCATTACGCGATTACTTTGAAGCTATTTCTTATGTCTTAATGGTTTCAGTGCAGTTTTCAGATGGAATGAGCTTGCCCCATTAAACGTTATAGCTGGACTAACCTAGGATGAACTGGAATGAAGGTTGAAGTAAAGTTAACCTTAAATATACGTCGTTAAAGTCGTTGGAATTAAAGGAATATTTGTTCGTTTAATAAAACAGCTGTTCTAGTCGACGCCATCTTATAAAGGTGAATATAGACTAAGGCTTTTCTACGTAATGTAACGTTCAAGAATGAAAACGTTTGGTTCGTGAAAAAGTGACACTGACACTAAAACGTGATCATTGTTCTGTTACAAGTAAAACTGCTCTATTACTAGTACTAAAGGTGGACTGACTACCTCATAAAGGTAGCAGGAAGGCGCTGGATGCAGGCCGCTACCAACCGGGTAATCTAGAAATTAGACGATGGCTTTTGTTAATGCTACCCTTGTAAGGTCGTCGGTCCACTTTGCGAGTGAACCAGTACGTGACATCCACTCCAGAACCTTACTGCCCCATCGGCCGTCAGTTCTGCATACTATACCCTGCCCATTGCCACTTCAGCAGCTAATCTGTCGGTCTATGTCAGCGACTTTGGATCTCCAGTCTCCACCGATACTCACGTTGTATTTCCATCTTCCAGCCGTCCTCATGGGTGGAGTGGGCCAGGGCAGGCTGGACTGCTCTGCAGGACAGCACCCGGCCTGCGTCGTCGATGGCAGGCGTGAAAGTCAGGATACTGCTGGTGATGTTGCCGTCTGGTGAGGTCTGGAAGAGGTAGGAGGTTTGAGAACTATAGTCTAGTCCGTGAGCACGTAGAATTTTGTCTAATGACCCCTAGCTACCCATCCTTATCGCTCGCGCGTAATTATGTTGCTATCGCGCTCGCACACTAACTGCGGGTGCCAGTCGCACAGTCGCGACAGCAATATAATTACGCGCNGAAATTAAGATTTATTTGTTTCTGATGGTAATTTACTCCATCTTAAACACTTGCGTAGGAAAATCACTGTATTCTTGTTACAAAAATCGTATAAAAGAGACTTCGACGTTATCGTATATGAAAAAACATTTTACTTTCAATAAATTGTTATTGAAAGGCTTCAAGAAATAAAAAAGCTTTTTGCTTGTTAGTAATGAAAGCGAAAGTAACGTCGTCTATCCGTCTTTCTTTTGGCATAGATATACCTACTACCTAGTTTGTTTTAGAACATGTTCTTCTGATTAAATTCAAAAGACAGCTATCTCCTGGGACTACTCAGCCGTCACTGGTTGGGTTTCATGGAGGCCAAGCTGTATATCCTGGCTATACAGGAGTTGCAGAAGTGGGAAAGAGAGGTGAGAATACAATATAAAGTGTAGGATAGTTCTTACTCGATATTTGCAAGGGAGACTAGGTAATTCCCGTTTTCACTACCAATCCCTAATTTTTAAGTGACCACTATGAAAAAAAAATGCCTGATGAGTGTTACCATAGGGGTCACTTAAAAATTAGGGATTATTGATGGTGAAAGCGGTCAAAAGTCTTTATATGACGAAAAATTCACGCGGGTAAATCCTAACACAAGCAAGTTACCAATATATGACGCCTCTGCCATCCTATAGATGTTACACAAAGTATACTTGATCGATACTTTATCATCATCATATCAGCCATAGGACGTCCACTGCTGAACATAGGCCTCCCCCAATGATCTCCAGTTGGTAGCTGATTGCGTCTATCGCCTTCCTTTAGGATATAGATGGCGCTGCCGTCAAGTAAACAACGGGCTCCGCAAAAAATATTTTTTTTATAGTAAATAGTGTACGTTTTGAAATTATTTTAGTGTTAAATTACGAGTTATAATATAAACGAACAGTGACAATGTTATCTAGAAAATTGTGCATCAAACTAAAAAGATACAAATCAGTGAAATGACAGTGCATAAAAACAATGTGAAATGTGAAACAAACATTATAAACCCATCTAAACAATCACTAAATATTATGTTGTGCGCGTTGAGATTAAATACAAATCACAAAATAAACAATAAACAGTGATAATAACATTGTGATTTATAAGTGCAAAACTGTAAGGCAGTTCGAAAAAATTGCATAATTACAAATTCTACTCCACTACTCATACTAACGAACTTTTACAAACCAAATTGAATACTACACCATAATTTCAACCGTTCAATTATTAACAAATTGGCGCAGTGGTAGCACTGTCAGATTTTTGTAGCAACTAAACGTTCGAGCAACCTGGGTTCAAACCTCAACGACGCCGAAATTTTTGTGAGAAATAAAAATTTGTTTCTCGTGCTCAATAGCAGCCAACAGACGACTGAGATTAACTACCTAATTAATTTATAAAACTTCTGTACATAACAACACACAAGATGGCGTTAGTGTGCGAAAGATGTAACTTGGAGATTAAAGGAAGAGACTTCATACAATGCGCTTCTTGTATGAACTATTTTCATTTGGACTGCACAAGTACAAGTCAAGAATACTTCTATTACCTAACAATAGAAAAAAGAAAATTGTTAAAGTGTGACACATGTCAATATACTAGCAAGAACTCCAAACCCACATCACCGGCTTCGCTACGTCATGATAACATCACGATTCGAAATCGTCACAGACATAATGTGCATATCGACAACTCTATCACCGCATTGTCCCTTGATGATGATGACTCATCATTTGTGTCCACTTCAAACACCAACTTAGCAAGCAGTTGTCCTGATCTAAATGTCACTCACTCAGAAAAGTTAGAACAAATGGCGAAACAAATTACTGAGCTCAAGCAAAAACTGGAAAGTGCTGAAAATGAAATAAGTAATTTATTATCCGAAAACTACACGCTGAAAAAAGAAATACAAGGACGAAACTCACAAATTAGTCAACTAAAAGAAATATGCACATCAACGCCAACAAAACAAAGCACAAACAAAAAAAAGAATAGGAAGAGTAAATGCAAGAACAGATTAGATTTTACACAACATGAAAACCTGGAAAAACAGCACTTCTTGGATGGGGATCAACTTGTTGTTGTAACTCCGTCTACTACAGCCGATGTATTACCAAATTCTCAAAATAAACCTACCCCATTGATTGAATCATCCTTATCTGCAAATGAAAATAAAAATACAACAAATAGCAAGAATAAACAAGCAAGTATTTTTATTATTGGAGATGAACAAGCACGGGGACTTGCGGCTCGACTTACAAAAACACGAGCGAACAAATGGAACGACGTGTATAGCATCACCGGAATTGTGATGCCCGATGCAACTTCGAGGGACGTGCTGCGAAGTATTGATGACTTATCCGGAAAACTGACTAAAGACGACATAATCGTTTTATTGACTGGTCGCCATGACTCAAATCCTAATATTGTATTTTCAAGTTATTGTGTAGCGCTCAACAAATTAAGACATTGTAAGGTTATTGTATTGCCTGTTAATGATAACAAGTACCTAAATGAGAAAAAATTAAATAATGAATTGAACTTGCTAACATCTTCATTCTCAAACAGTTCCTTTATTAGCGCTAGTCAGATAAATGTCGGACACACTCAATTTCAAAACCTTTTGTGCATCAAGTTAAATGTTGTAATTGACTATCCAAAGTATAAAACTGATTTTATAAATAATTTGGGAAGAACGACCTTACCACTGAGCGTAAAAAGAAATTCAAACTGCAAATCTCAACCAGCCATTACGAAAACTCATCAGTTCTTAAAGGGTACGATTCCATACTACTTTAAAAAGGTCAGGCACCCTCCAAATATAGTATTATCACCTAAGGCAACTCCACTTGATACTAATCCCACAGGTAGTTCCTCAAAGAATGAGTTTTTTCGTTAATAAACAAAATAATACCAAACTACTGATATTTCACCAAAATTTTGCAGGCATATTAAATAAATTAAATAGACTTGAAATAGCTTTGGATGAGCTTCGGNAATTGGTCTAATTGATCCCAGAGGTGAGCCCAAAGTGAGGTCTATTTTCAAGTCACATTTATGATATATGTTAATCATTTATTTAGAAATGAAATGTATTTTTCTTTAAGGATATTTATTGGGCTTTCAAATAACACCAATATTATTGGGGTACCATGATTGTGTCAGAAGAAAATCTTTAAAGTTCGCGTCGCGGAAGGTGCGGTTTATTTGATGTTGAGTGTATATGCAGTACTCTACTGAGTACTGATAATCCGACAAATCCGATAGTCTGACACCGTCCTGCAAAGCATGGTACATATTTATTTTAACAGCTTGTCTAGTAGTATACAGAAGTCTTTGTACCTACATCGATATAAGCTTACGCTCCGCTCCTTGCATAATGAACATAATGACTATTGATTAAGACATCACAATTGAAATAATAATAGTATAGGATCCTACCATAAATCGACCTTCATCGATTTTCTTATAATTGAAGACTAAATACTTTTCATCCATTAACCAGCTCGTTGAAATCCTTTCTATAGTGGAATCTTTAGACTACAAAGAAATAAAACAATTATAAAGTTTTGTAAACTTATTCGACTAACATTGGAGAATACAATTTTTAATATATTCTTAATGTGAACATTGAAATAATATAATTCACTACATACATAGTATAAAACAAAGTCGCTTTCCGCTGTCTGTTCTTGCCCTATGTATGCTTACTTAGATCTTTAAAACTACGCAAACTGGTGTTCTTTGATAATTTCCTAGTTGTATTTTTGCTGATATTATTTGCCTTCTTTCCGAAATTTTGTGATGGAAATATAACTAAAGTTATGTAATAAATCACACAAGAAAATATTCTTCACATAATATGAGATTTTTTACTGTACGTAATAAAGAATAATATGAACAGTTTCAATTTCAAAGTTTACTCAAAGCCTTCCTTGTATTGAAACTAACGAAGTTGTAGGAAAATTATTATATCGCATGTAGTTACTACATTCTCTTCTTTTATTTAGTAAGATATTAATTCTATTACTGATTTTAAATCTAATTAAAACATTGTCTTGTAAAAACTACAATATGACGTTCATCAAGCTACAGGTACGAGTAGCTTACGAGCTTACAGCGTACGAGGAGCTTCGGGAAAATGGTAAAAATATTAGTGTAATATGCGGCACAGAAACTTTTCTCAAACCTGGAGATGAGAAAAATTTAAGGCTCAAAGACTTTAAGTTAGCGAATCATTACTCTAGACCAAAACAACGGAGAGGAGGCGTTTGTATTCTGGTTAAAAAGCACGTATTATTCAATACAATAGGTCTGGCTCAGGAGTATGCTACTTGCAAACATTTTGAATGTTGTGGCATTGAGATTAAAAATAGTAATTTGGTTGTACTGTCTATCTATCGCACCCCAGATTCAGACTTAGATATTTTCTTCTCTAAACTTGAAGGGTTATTATCTAGGTTGATGAGAAAGAATAGAAAAAAAATAATCATTGCAGGTGACTTGAACATTGATACTATAAGCAAAACTCGACACTCGACCAGGCTAACAAATCTGTTACACACTTATAGTATGACACTTCATGTAACTGCACCTACCAGACTCAATAGATGTATAGATCACATTATTAGTAATACAAAACATGCTATATGTTCGATCCATGATTTTACCATATCAGATCACACCGCCCAACTTGTTGAGTTTAACATTAAAATGAAAAACCCGATTTCACAATGGTTTCAGACTAAAAGGGATTACAGTAGTGAGAATGTTAAAAAATTTCATAATTGTATCACATCTTTGTCAT